ACACCACAAAGCAAAATGTGACCAATCCTTTTATACGTGCATGTATTATTAATTTTATCTAACTATAAATTCATTTTGAGAAAGTAAATGGGGCCCGCCGTCCAACCGATATTCTAGAATGTGCTCTTACGGACAAAAGCTTGGAACCTCTGCGTTAAACTATTTTACGACGGCCATCTAGATGCAATCTTCGAATAGAGCGCCTATAAAATCTCAAATTACTTTTCTTAAAATATCATATGCTTACAATCAAAAATTTTCAAGCAGTTAATTGTTTGCTTTGAACCAGTGAACATCTGCTGTTATGGATTCAAAAGCTCATTGAAGGATTCTGTTGTAAAACAGAAATTAATCCCAATTTTCTCAAGCAGATTATGACTGCAGATGAAATTTCGCATTTTGCTTATGATTCTGAGGCAAAACGACAATCACCTGCTTTGGCTTGGAGAAGGTTCCTACGACCATTGAAATTTCAGTTTCAGAAATCTGCATTCAAGATCATAACGGTGATTTTACTTGACTGTAAATTCATAGGCATTTATTTATTCTTGTGGGACACATGGTGAATTCCATATTTGATAAAGATGCAATTGCACGCATTTCTAAAAAGAATCCATCACGTTTAGATGGGTAAAAATCAATAGAATAAAATGGGTTTTTGCTACATGACATTGCGTCATTAGACAATTCCATTCTCATCAGGCTGTTTCGAGCCAAAGAAAAATGTAATTCTCAATTCCCTACTCCTTATTCATCAGATTTGCCATCTGCACACTATTTTCACTTCCTTAGAGTGAAATTTCACTTTAAATGCATTAATTGCACCCAGAGAAAAAGAAAAATGTAACCTGAGAAAAAGATGACAAAAAACGAAGAAAAGAGATTTTTTGTGAAGGATTCAAATAGCTGCATGAACGGGCCAAGCATTGCACAAATGCACATCGCATATTGAAGGCAAAACGGTTACAATGTTACTTTCGCCTGTGTGCTAATATAATCCTTTACTACCTTCATGTAAAATTTCAAGTCTTATATCACGCAATTCTTACGTTAAATTTGAACATAACACGTATGTACGTACAGATCGACAGTAAAATAACCATCTGCAAGTAAAAGAAATCTGTTGAATTTAAAAATGCAAAAAAGTGAAAAATCGGTAAAAAAATAGATTAAAAAACAGCCAACCATAAACAGAAATTGCCTATCATATGCCGTGTAATCGGAAGGGAGTAACATGACATACAATCAACCATTATCTTACAATCAACCACGCTTCTGAGTGTACATTATGTTATTTAAGTTAGGGAAAAAGAAAAATTATGAATTAGTAATGCCAAAATAAGTAACAAAGTTGTGCAATCTTCCTCTTAACTTTCCAAAATGGTAAAAAATGAACCAAGATAAAAATCGATGTATATATCGTTATGAATACTCGTGAGCAGCTATAAATGATAAAAAAAAATCATTCATTTCAACTTTTAATCTCTTTTCACTTACTTCAACTTTCAATTTCAATTACACATTACCTTTATTGATAGATACATAATCTAGTTGCCCTTATACAGCAGTTATCTATTAACAAGATCAACGACGTGCAATCGAACTTTATAGCATATACCATTTAAATATTACATTAAAATAAAATGGCTTTATTAATATTTTACTTTTTCAACATTAAACACTAAATTCGTTTATTTCATGATTATTCAAACAGCTATCAACGGTAACGCCTCCTGCGTTTCTAGTCAAATTTATTTTGCAGCTAAAATAAAAATACACACAAAAGTTACCAACTCGAGAACTTCAGCAATACCCTTTAGGTTAAGAATTTTCAAAGCCTAACCCCCGCTCCTATTTTCTGTATCTTCGTCAAGAAGATCGCATTATCCGAAGGAAGAAAACTTCATTTGCTTATTCGGCGGGGCCAGTGCGCGCGTCCGAAGGGACCGACCCAGAAGATGGGAAAAGAACCTCCCGGCCATTTTTCGAAAAAGTCAGACACATTCATACACACACACTCAAGCAACTTCTCCTCCCCCCTTCAGTTTCTCAATTCATGCAAATGTGGCGGCTGTCCCGTGAGCGCCCCTGTCTTGCTCTCGACCACCTCTCCAGGGAACGAAAGGGGGTGAAGGAAAGAGCGCCTGCCGCAGGCGATAAGAAAAGGGAAAAAGGGGGTAAACGAAGAAGATGAAACCGAAAAGGGGCGACTTGAATTTTACATGGGCTTCTTCCTACTGGCACAGGGCTGCTGCTGCTGCACGTCAGACCCAGTTATGATTTGCCTGCGGTGTCCTTAGGGTTCACGAGGAACGTGGAGAGGGAAGCGGAGACAGGACGTCATTTTTCTTTATTCCTCTTCATATCCTCCATCCACCTTCTTCTGCATATTGCGGCGCGTTCGGTTATTTCGATGATGACTGCGCGGCCGCCTCCTCCCTTGAGGATCCTTTCCATCGGCTTCTCGGAGGGATTTTGCCCCTCATTTCCCTATTTTTTTCTCCTTCTCCCTTTCATCTTTCGTTCCTTTGCATGCCGGAGAAGGAAAAGCCCTTTCGTTCCATCTCTCAGCCTCTGCCAGCGGAGTCGTCGGTTTTCCAACCACCTCGTGCGTATGTGTGTGTGTGACAATGAAGAATAACGAGAAAACTATGGCCGCCGAGACCCAAGTTTAATGAGCTGGTCCGTCCCTTGAGGTACTGGAGGCATTAGCTCGCGCACGAATTAAAGTCGTGCGCATGTGTGCTCCTTCTCCAATTGGTGTTGGGGTGGGGTGGCGAGAGAAAAAGGAGAGCAAAAGAAAAGGGGTATGTGTAGAGAGGCTAGCGCGCGAAATGAGCTTCGGGACCCGAAGAGAATTGCCGGGGCACACCGGATTACCGAAGAGTTGGGGGGGGGGGGTGAAGCTACCATGCAAATGAAAAGAAGCCCCCTGGAAAAGCGGCCCTTAAAGATTTATGCGCGGCGCTGCTATCGCCCCGGCCCCCGCACAGACGCAAACCCATTGATTGACGGCGTTTCCTTGCCTTTCTTTGAAGGTATTAAAGAGGCGCCCTCCCGTGGGGAGGCAAGCCCGCCGCTGTTCTCTGCAACAAATTTTAACTGCGGCTGCCTTGCCTTAAAAGGAATAATTTTTTCCCCTATCTTTTATCCCGTTCGTGCTACAATGTTGAGAGTTCACGTTGTCTTTGTTCTTATTGCCTCTCGCAACTTACTGCTTTAGAACACTTACGTTCCGTTTTGTATTGCCAAGAAATAGTGTTCACAAACGATATAATAACAAGTGTGTAATTATAAGCTCCATAATTACATCTAAATTTCTCCTGAATTTATATGTAATTTTGAAGATTTATGAAGACGTTTTACCACTCTTTTGTTTTTCAAATCGTAGACAACAGACTCTTGATTTTTCGAGCTCTTAAGGATTCTTAAAAAAGTTCATAAAATCAAGAGTTAGTAAACGGGAATGGTATTTAAAAATGTAATTTTCACTTCTTTTTATTTACTAGAGATTAAAAAATATCATATCTTTTCGCTTATTTTATAACTACAGTTCAGTAAAATTTCATAAAGATCCCATGAAGAAAAAATTCTTGATAGTTTCGATCTAAGCAGACACGCAAGCATTCACGTTTTAATCCTCCCCCCTTCATTTTGTGATTTGTAAAAATGTGAGTTCTATTGCATATAAAAGATGAATTTATTAAAATAATTTTTTAATTTCTCTTTCAAAGACATGAAATTAAATATGTATGTCAATATATGCAATTCTATAACCATTCACTCATTAATCACTATAGTGTTCATAATAATAAACATTCCCTTCGAATAATGCGTTATACTTACGCACGCTTTTCGTAAAAAGTTAACAAAAACCTGAAACTGCCCATTTATCTAAAAAGTATCAGTGCCTTCTTTTTTTTTTTTTTTTTTTTTTTTTTCCCCTCATACGTATTTCGTCCAGTTCATGTTGAATATGCAAACCCTGAGTGAAACCGTGAGAATTAAAGACAGTCAGCCTGCAGAAGCATACAAAACGTCTATCCATCAGCCAATGGACAGAGAAGTTCTCCTAGGGCTTTTTTCGTGTATTCAGCATGGTTCCAGAAAAAATCTCTTATTAACCACATATAGTTGATAAATTGAACAAAAACCAAGGAACATTTTGGAGACAAGGACGTTTCAACAATCCAACAAACGAATTAAAGTGAATACCAGATGCTTTGCAAGAATATTATCTCAAAATGTCACATAAGGCTCTATGAAGTCCAGGGCATAATCATATAACCTTAATAAATATAATACACCTCAAATTTTGAATTAAATCTGAGAACAAAAATGATATTTATTAAAGAATCGATAAACATTCTGACAATCTGAATGAAGTCGAAGCAAAAACTACGTCTATAATTCGATAGAAATCAAAATAAATTATAAGAAATGAAAATATGAAATTCTACAAATCATGAAATGATACGTGCAAAATGAAACACTAAAAATAACACTGGATAAACAGATTGGAATAGTTTATGAATTTTGACGATTGAGTGCACTGGGTCGCTTTAACAAGTACGTACCGATGATGCAATAGCCTTACAATATTTCAACCTCATTGAGCTCTTAATGTCATAACTATGTAGAATAATATATAGATCGTCCTTTATGTTTCATCACTATATATATTAAGTTCCAACTCTTTACCAAACGAAACATCAGCTGAATAATATAATTCTTTACGAAGTATTACCTACTCTGAACAAGAGTTTACAACACTACAGGAGGCCCACCAGCGGCCGAGCGGTAAAGTCGCTGAACACTGGTAGTTCGGTCCGAGGTTCGAATCCCGCGAACGGGCTAGGTTGCATGGGCGTTTTCGTGGTTTTCCCCATGTGTAACGTGTATACGAGCCAGTTTCCCTTAGAAAGTCCTCCACGAAGGCATCCCTCCCCTTAGGCAGATAGCCCTCGAGGCTTTGCTATATTCACACACACACACACACAACACTACAGGATGCTTGTGCGGAGCTAAAGCGTCTAAAATATTAATAACAAACCTGTTGGAAAAGGGTGACTAAACTTGTCAAGATATCCTGATCTACCATTGCCTGACAAACAGAATGATCTCCGCATGCAGCTACATTCCTGGAAAGAGCAAAAAAGTCCAGATTAGGTTCATTTGCTTAGGATTGTATCGCTTAAAAATAATGTTCATTCAAATATATATTAAGACTGGATATGGTAAAATCTGCTTAAAGTTAACAACTACGGGACTAGCATAACTAATCGTTAAAAAAAAAAAAAAAAAAATAAGTATTTAAGTAAAATACAAGTTTCGCTCGCTTTATGAAAGTAAAGTTCTTGTAAAATTTTTTGTAAACCAAAGTACCAAACAATGAAGCTATTACACTAAATTTATATCATAACAGCCTTTAAGCGTCCCCTCCCTTCTAAAAGAACATCGCATCAAACGTCACTTAAAATTAAACGCTATGATAAATACATAAATCATATAAATAGGAAAATCATATCAAATTTCATCAGTTTTGAACAAAATCGACCAAAAGCGGAAATTCCCTTAATTTTGAAATTTTTTATGTGTATATATTTATGCTCTCAGCTATATTAGTGTTTGCTGTCAATTCATCAATGCGGAAATGTTTCGTATGACCATTTATTTTTTTTTCCCCATTATTTTTAAAAACTAAGTTTCTACTGTCTATATAAAAGAGAAACACGCGGATGTAAAACTTAAAACTGCGTTGAAAAATATAAATTAAAAAAAAAAAAAAAAAAATCTGAAAGCTTTCAGATTTTATATTACGCACAAATGGGCGTTTTTATAACATTTTGTGTGTTACCTATATTTATTTATCATGTTCTTCACATTTAAAACATAAAATTCAATTTAACAGCAATATTGCAAAATAATCTTTAGAATTTCTGATACATAGTTTCGCGCGCTGAACATGAAAATGTTTCCCCCCCCCGTACAGTGTTGCAATTGCTTGCTTGGAAATTGTTGAATTTCTTAATCAAAAACTCATGAATGCTTTACAAAAAATGAACTAGATAATAAATGAATATAACAAATTCCAGATTCGGACTTCCAGATGCCCATATTCGGGTAGACGTACGTTATTCAACATTTGGTGGATATAGGTACTGTTGTTTCATCACAATGCGATTAATATACATACATTTATGCAGATTCTTCATTACTTAATGTTTTTAAATATAATAAAGGGCGATAATATTTGGTGGCAACAATTTGAAAAGTGATTCAGACTTTTAAAGTTTTCGATGAAAAATGCCAAAACAAAATTAATAGCTCTTCTGGGCTAACACTCTTTGGGCTAATAAATAAAAAAGCAACCTTAGATTAGCATAGCTTTTGAAGAAAACTTTCGAAAAAAACAATTTCGAAAGTAATAAAATATAATCCTATTTTTTAAAAGAGAAAAGCAATGGGCGAATCAAAGCAAAAACTAATGCAATGCCCCTATAAAGAGAAATTGTAATAATACGTGAAAATGCAGGTATTAGAATTTTGAAAGCGCTTGGGAAAAACTAGCTTGTAATTAATGTCAATAATACAGGAATATAAATTTTGTGAATGTGAAAGGCTTCAAGGAAAAACTGAATGAAAAATAACACATCAAATGAAAAAGCTTTTTGTATAATTTTTGCAGAACTAAAGTCAACTGCGGATAATGACTATCGAACATTTATATTTCTCCTCGTCGAACAAAGGATTTGTGCACTTTGATAGCAAATTTTTAATGATCTTTCAGTTTGGCCGCATTATATGTCATGCCACATACAGAAAATATGCTATAAATTCCCCAAGAATAAAATCAGAAATGCGTTCTTTAGAAACACAACAACGAATTTTACTAATAGATAAGAAAATGACCTGAAAGTTGAACGTGTGAAAAATCCAAGCGATTTTATAACTGTTAAAAAGATTAAATCAGATGTTACATAAGCAATAATAAAACAATCATGATGACAAAGGTGTTTTTAGAAGAAAGAGAAAAAAAGAAAGAAGAAAGATTCTTTAAAGATTTCATAAATGACCATAGAAGAAAATTCTCTATTAATGGCAATCAATTTCAAATATCTGAGTTCTTAAGAAAGAAAATATTCCAAAGAACAAAACTGTTAGCCGAAGCAAGAAAGAAAAATGCCCGATCATTAATTTCTACTTACGCAGATTTTTGTAAGTATTTCTAAATATGCTATATACATTACAAATCTAGAAGATATCCTGCATATTTTAAAGCAATGGAATTCCTTTGGTCATAAAATATTTCCTTAATATATTTCATTAGGTGAATAGGAAGAAAGAAGAAGCTGGCATTACAGTTAAAAAATATCATTTGCAGAATAAGAAGAAATGTTCCGCTTTAAATATTCAGAAACAATTACCCACAGCAGAATGTTTACAAGTAACGGAAAATTGCTTAGTTTTAGCTACAGGTAACCAAGTTTATGATGAGGTTAATAACGTTGAAAGCTTCGAAGCTAATTAACTACGAAAACTTTCCGAAAAGAATAAAAATGATATGCGTAGTTTAGGACGATAAATACTCGAAAATCTGCTTTGTACAGTTAGTAGTCTAAAAATAGTTACACACACAATAAACTTTCAATGAAACTTTCGAAATTAAACTCAGTTTATTTCCCTCTTAACCACATAAATCTATCTTATTTTTCCTTCAAAATTCGGCTGACTAATGCTGACAGCAGTTAAAATTATTAAAAACCGGTAACTTCGTCTCGCAGATTCATGAATATTTTCGTGCTTTTCTTTATTGGTATTATAAATTTAAACCATCCTAGAAAGCACTGGCACGCAATCCTCTAGCTGTCTTGTAAACATCTATACCAGCCGCTACACAAGTTGGTGGAAATTTTTCGTACGCGTACTGAGCGATTTTATCAGTTGCCTTTTGTCTGGATCTATTCGAAAGGTTATTAAACACGTTTAGATAAGATAAAATGCATACGTAAGTGCGTGGCCGGCCAAACGGGAAAATGCGTAGTAATTCCGGAATTCGGTACGCTGACTCGAGCCCTTTGGTAGGCTGATTGCCGTACAGTAAGGCCCGGATTCGAATCCCGGAGAAGGCATGGATATTTGCAAATGTATAGTGTCTGCGCGGCATGGAGGCATTCAAAGTACACGGTGAACCGAAAATCTTCTCGAGAGGTTGATGTTAGGGGAAGATGGAGGAAAACCCTTGGATCCGTCCCCCGTTATGCTTTCCGGCATGCTCTCTTTCAAAACTGAGCAGCGTCGGACTGTCACCTGTAAAAGTGTCCAGGGCTTTTGCCAACGACAGACACTCCTTATTACCTCTTGATGATAAAATTTGTGGGCTTGTTCTGATTAGGTCATACAAGTGAGATTAGTCACAAAACAACAAAATATAAATGCGCGTGTACGAAAAATAAAAAATATTTTGATTGACGTATCTTTAATAATAACATGCTGAAGGAAGCGATTTGCCTGACTGGTCAGCAAAGGAATGACATCTTTTCTATCTACCCATTCATTACTAGTGGGCTAAATTCTTAGCAGAGAGATGAAAATTGTGCGAGCCTTTTAATATCACTTTCAATTATAAAGAAACTGATAGAAGGGTGATGAATTAAAATTATAAAAATAAGCAGAGGCGAGAAAGTCAATGACGATACGGAACACTCAATCGATAAATTTCCTTGTTTCTCAAGAGGACATACTGTAGCAACTCTTCATCTGAAGACGCAATGTGATTGTTTAGTAAGTTATTTATATGGATTTGGCAGAGGTGTGCAATATTTGTACCGGAGGGGATAAGTATAATGGAAAATTATAATCCTAAGTACTAGAGTTTATATTTCTTAGAAATACTGATCATTTTTAGAAGTGGTCATCATGACAGGGTTTACTGTAGCTTGAATACAAAGATTAATGATGTAATTAGAATACTAAGGAGTGCAATATGATGTAATAAATTTATAAATATCTAATAAACATGTGAAATTAAAGTGACAATACTATAATAAATAAATAAGATTTTTGTTGAAAATTAACTTTTCGTACCGCTTTCCTCTCCATACTTTAAATTAATTGCATTAATATACACTCAAGAACCAAAACATTATGACCAGCCCTACATTTTGCGATGAACGCGCCTGGATGATGTGGAAGGCACGTGATCAGGTGGAAATGGTATTTAACTGCTGCTGGAGAGTCTGAAGAATCATTTTTTGAACCATAGGCACTCCGAAAATTGCAAATCATTGGCATTGGCAAGAATCATTCTTTCACTTACTTCTGTGTGTGATGGGAAAGGCTGCGGATCTAAGCGACTTTGATAGAGGGCAGATTGTAATGGCTCGAAGGCTCGGAACAAGTATTTCCGAAACTGCACGGCTCGTGGGTTGTTCGCGATCTACAGTTGTTAGTACGTATGAAAAGTGGATGAATGACGGTGAAACCAGCAGTAGACGACATAGTGTTGGACGTCCACGCGCTATCAAAGAAAAAGGTCGTCGGAGACTGTCTCGCATGGTGAAGCAAAACCGGAGCCAGACAACAAATTTTGAAGTGTGAGTGTCAGTGCATGAAATGTTAGTCCCTCTAGTCCACTGATGGCACGACACTGGGATTTGGATTTCTTCACAGTTAGAACTGTGTGGCAGATGATGCCGAAGAATACAAAATATAGGTATCTCTCTTATAACACGGTTTCACTCTTATATGATAAGAAAATTGCGGAAACACTCGTTATAACACGGCAACACGGTTTCATTTTCTAATACGTTAATCAAATATGCACACTGTCCCCCCCCCCAAAAAAAAAGACGACACTTCTGTAACTCCCGTTCTACTGAGACGATTGACAAAATTCAAATTGCGTCTCGAAAGCGCGACTTAGGATATATATTAGATTTATATATAGCATTGTTCTAACATAGGTATTCTGACACAAAAACGGACGTTTTCTGAAATAACATAGCAATTTTTTTCCAATATTTCGATTCTACGACTCAAATTATGCATAGATATTAAATTTTGTAAAATTTGGTGCGAAATTTAAGGAGAAATTCAAAAATTTATCTTGGCGAAAATTTTCAGTTTGCACCACTTGGCG